AAATTGAGAAATCGAACTAACTCTAAAATCGAGAAATTGAAAAAAATCAAATGTTGATAAATCATTGAAATCCCAAAAACTTATTGTACAACTTAAAAATTGCACAATAAAAACCGAAAAACTGAGAAATCGTAAAACCAAAAAACTGTATACCTACCTAATTTTTAAACATTCGAAAATGGGTGCTACTAAAAAATCCTCAGTTAACACAACAATGTAAATAAACGTGGCGAAAATAACAACATTTGAATGACACCGATGTGCTTTGTTGTCATTGTCGAAATTAATACATATACTCTCAATTCAAAATAATAAATTTAAAATTATTTAAATATAAAAATTGAAAAACTAAAAACGACAAAATCGTAAAACTGAAGTTCAAAAATCAAAAATTGAAAAACCCAAAAGTTGAAAATACGAAAAACTGCAGATCGAAAAATTGAAAATTCAAAAATTAAAAAAAAAAAATAATCAAATAGAAATTGATTTTGCGGCATAGAAACATTACACATTACACGTTTTTCAGTTTGCTTTTTGTTTCTAACTCTTTCTCTAATGTTTGTATGTAATTTTCGATATTTAGATATTTGAGCATCTGGTGTTTGCCTCATTAACTTCTCAACTCATGAGCCGCCCGTGCCAGAATTGCCGTCAATTGAGACAGTTATTGACAAATTGTCATTTACTTAAAGATTTGGAAAATATTCAAGTATGTATAGAGTTTTCAACAGTGAATTTTTTAAACCATGAAATGGGCAAAAAGTCAGAGCAAAAATGAGGAAGTTTTAAAATTTTGACGTGAAACATCTACGTGTCCGTAAGAATTCATAATCGGACAAAGCCGTGCGAGCATGCAAAGTCACGTTTACTCCAATCCGAGTAACACACGGAAAAGGTAAACAAAAAGAATAAAAATATTTTATCATACGAAAAACTTGTTGTTACCTAAAGGGACATTGCTTTGTTTCCGTTAAAATAAACACATAAAAGCACATGTCATTGCTCTTAAAAGTTAAAAAACTGTGAATCACAAAAAAACTCGAAAGAAGTCTAATCAGAGTAAACTTAATTTAATCCAAAATTTTGACTAGTCAAATGTACATTAACTGACGAATGAATATTTATGAGAATTTAGTAAAATCGCAACTGAAACGGTGACGATACAGCTGTAACTAGCAATTGATATTTTTAGTAAAATATTTAAGTTTGTCCTTCGTTTTAATTAATATTTCATGGTAAAGGTTCTCATCTGGTCCACTGATCTTAATTTCTGTTTCTATTTTCTAACCTAAAGGTGTAATGTTGACCATATGGCTTTAAATTTCGACGCATGGATTGTTGTTCTGATCTGTAACTTTGGTTATTTAATAGTCACCAACACCTTCCTGCTTTGGCAAAACTGGTTTCAGCAAAAGATCGAATGAAATGGTTGCAGATTCTGTCCACTGTGAAATCTTATCCGCCCACTGGGCAATTCTGAAAGTCAATTTCTTTTTATCGCGACTTTTATCAAAAATTGTTTCCAATCAATTATCAACAAATCAACCATTTTTGATCAAAAAGCATTTGGTGATAGTAAATTGTTTCATACTAAATACATGAGGATGGATAGATACATTGTAAAATTTGGTTGTAAAATTTTGATTTGTTTCCCGATCGTAAGCTAAGGAAGTATTGTCAAGGGGTTCATCCAGCAACAGCTAATTTCTTATTTCCTCAACGTTTCATAACCCCTACAGCATGAAAAAATAGTATCCCCGTTTCTGCCGGCTTGTTATTTGTCGTCTGTCGTCTGTAGTCTATTGGTTACATTATTATTAGACAAATAATCTCTGAAACTACTGGATTATTGTGAAATTTTAACGTGAAGAACTATAGTTTGTCTGATCATTCCTACGAACAATTTGATTACCTACGTCATATCAAATTCTTCAAAGTATCTCCTAGTTAAATTTTATAAAATAACATATTTCTATACCTGTGGTTCATGAGTATGTCTTCTTTTTAACCGTGGACATCCAAACTTTTGAGGAAAAGCACCAAAATTGTGTAACATTTTAAATTTAATTTTGGAATTGCAAAATTGAATGCTACATATATCTTTTAGATTGCATTTTTGCACCAAAATTAACCAGTGAAATCAATAACAGCTACTCATAGGAAACTGTTGTTTGCGTAGAACCTCAGGGTTTTACACTGTGGCTAATAATTTCGTCACTTATGATAACGATTTAGGTAGTTCTTTAAGAAGCGGTAGTCGTTTAATTCATATAATTATGATACCAGCTCAGTTATGACAAATAATTTTACTAAGAAAATTAGAATAAAGAAAGAAAGTTGGGTACGGCCAAATGTCTTAAGTATCTTATACATCGGTATAAATACTATTTTTTGAATTCCATAGCTCTGATACATTTTTCGTGGAACGTTTTTCCCTCCTAATTAATTTCCATCCAACGTACGTTTTTATAGCCGTGGAAAATAATATCGTATGCATCACGTGCTCAGTGTTATTTTGCCACAGCTTCGCCTCCTTTGATAAAATTGACACTCCATGGGCATGGGTGACATAAAAAACTATGTTGATGGTATCTGAGAAAAACCCATCCATATTTGTTTATGTTAAAGAACAAAACTAAAAAAATATTCTTTAGACATCGAACATGTTTGAATGTTACGCCACCACCTACAAAATCCAGATTAGTAAATTTCGCCACCTCCACAACTCACCACTTCCCACGCTTCGAAAAAATAACGAAACCCTTCCGAGCAACTCACGGCGGCCGTAAAGCAAACGATACGCCTTTCCGATAAAAACTCTGTTGTTGCTGTTGTGTTGTATGTCGAAAAGTTGTCCGAGCCGAGAGTGCAGCTCCTGCTGCGTTACACGCAGAGTTACAGTTCGCAGCAGAGTTATGGGGTTGCACACGCCGCCCTCTATCCTTGACCTCGCCAACTTGTTCTTGTCGACTCCCAGTGAGACGCACCGGCAAAGGCCCGAATTACTTATTAATAAGATACGCTTTTTTATTTGCTCGTTAGGGCATTCTTTGAACGTCTGCAAAAACCGAAATGCGAACCGAATCGCGGCGGGGAGGTCGGACCGGCACCTCCCTACATCGGTTTCGGGTTGATACTTTTCTAATTAAGTTGCTCGGTCGGACGTAGATTTAATGATTTAAGGCAAGTTGGACAGAGGAAGGCTGCTTTTTGGTTTTATTGGGTGGTGAGGCGGGATTTTTTGTCGCTGTTAAGTTTATGTTGAAATATAGAACGTTTCTACTGCCTATAGCCTTAATTGTAATGCAAATAGACACGAAATTAAACGTCGTTGAAGACGAATGTGGAGATATCTAAACGTTCATCTTGAGTTTGGTGTCTAACATGAGATAATATGGTGGTATTGTTAAAATATGAGATATCTTTTCATAAATTTTCAGAGAAACTTCTCGTCGCCTATTATGTATATGTTTTTTTTTTTTAACATATGCAACAAAAACAAAAATCAAGACGAAAAAACCCACAGATTTTTAAAACTTTTACAGAGCTTTATTCATTTAATCCCGGGTAGCTTTACTGACAAAAGTAGCTTATTTATTTAGACAAGACTACTTATACTCAGAACGTTAATTTTGTATGCACTAAATTTTTATGACGTGAGATGTTGGATGACACAATAGTGGTATTAGTGACGATAGCCGACAGAATTTTTTTTATTTACGTAATGTTTCTTTTGCTTTTCACGTTTTATTTCATTTTTAATCTGTTTTTGTAGATTTTTTTGGAATGAAATACGAGTTTTAAATCTTTCGGGATTCTACCTGTTACTGATACAATATCTTTTAGGGTCAGATAGGATGACACAATTTTATTTTATTTTATTATTATTTCTTATTCTTAGTATCCTTTTGCTGAAGATAATGTTACGTTGATCTGTGAATAAAATCGGCGTGGGTAAAACTCAACAATTTATTTTTTAGTAACTCAAATTTAGACGAGCAATTAATCATTCAGCGATTATGTACACAATAATTCCGACTGGAATGGATTTATACACCCATACAACAGACTCCTTTGACACCTGTTCCCCCGCATATCCAAACCTCAACACAACACACCATACCCCCACACCAAACGAAGCACACGCAACCACTAGTCCTTTATATATCACTCGTACCGTTCATTTATCCAGATCCCATTCTTTCCTCAAATACACGCCTCAATTTCCCCATCACTCTGATCACCCTACCTCCCAGACTCTCGACTTGCGGTCTAAAATTCATACGCTCACTAATTCTTATACCCAGATACTTCACCTCTTTCACATACTTCACACGCTTATCCTGAACCCTCACATTCGGCGATCTCGAGTCAGACAACGATCCCTTCAGAAGCATCATAACCGTTTTCTCCCTGGAGATATCGACACCCAATCCATTCCCCCAAGCAACCACCATTTCCATCACTTCCGTTCCCGCATCCTCAATCTCCTTTCTATTATCCGCCTCAATCATACACAACAGATCATCTGCATACGCCACACACACCCCTTCTTCAAATCTCTTCCAACAATCCATCCATCATTACATAATGATGGATTGTTTGGAACATTCCAAACCGCCGATCCACAGATAGATCCTTGTGGACATCCTCTACACACCTTCCTTTCCACCTCATTTGCTCCTCCTACCACACATACTTTCCGATCTCTAAAATAACTCGCCCAAACTTTGATCTCCTTACACCCAACTTCCATCAATTTACTCAACACTGTATTCCAGCTCAGATTATCAAACGCTCCTTTAAAATCAACAAAAATTCCCAACACGTACTTCTTTTCCGACCACTCCACAACCTGTTTTACTCCTATCCTGTATTCCCAATCCTTTTACGAATCCGAACTGAGCCCTCGACCTTCTTATTTAATCTTCGTTTAATTACTAAATTAGATAATTTTGGGATTCGAGGCCCATTATTGAAATGGATCAGATCATTTCTTCATGGTCGTAAGTTTTACGTCAGAGTGGGCGATTCGGTATCCTCTGAACGGGTGGTTGTGTCTGGTGTCCCGCAGGGTTCTGTATTGGGACCACTACTTTTCATCCTCTACATATCGGACTTACCTCATTTAATTTCGTCAAATCATGCTTTCTATGCTGATGACTGTAAACTGTATGCTAATCCTATTCTAAATTATCGAGAACTGCAAACGGATTTAAATACTGTCTACCGCTGGTGCTTAGACTGGTTGATTCCGTTGAATAACGGCAAGTGTAAAGTATTGCACTTGGGTACCAACAACCCCAAACACATTTACATGATAGATAATGAGGCAGTAAAGATGGTGGATAGTCAAAATGATTTAGGTGTTATAATAACATCTGATCTATCTTGGTCCAATCAAGTGGCTTACGTCGCACGAAGAGCAAATTCTGCATCCTATATGTTATTCAATGCATTTACACACCCTTCACGAGATACATTTCTGAAATTGTTTAAGTCGTAGGTATATATGGCCAATTTTGAAATACACCAATGTTGTGTGGTCACCAATTTTACAGCGAGATAAGGAATTGCTGGAAAAAGTTCAAAGAAGGGCTACAAAAAAGGTATTGGGTTATAGAACACAAAATTATCAAACCCGATTAAGATGTCTAAATCTTACATCATTGGAACAACGACGGAAGAGGGGAAACTTGATAATGGTTTACAAGATTTTTCGCAATCCAAATGTGTGCCACCTCAAAACCCTTTTTGAATTGAATACTAACCAATTGCGAGGGCACGTTTACAAATTAAAAAAGCAATCATTTAGAACTAATGTTCGAAGGTTTTTCTTTCCTAACAGGGTGTTTGATGAATGGAATAATTTGCATAGTGAAATCGTAAATGTGACAACTATTAATATGTTTAAGAACAAATTGGATCAGTAACTCTACTTAGGAAAATTTATTTGAAGGAGCATAATAGGTCTTTGACCTCTGCTCCATTTTTTTCTAATCATAATAATAATAATATTTCAAGTACCCTCGCCGATGTCCCCACCAGTACTCTCTCCAACACTTTTCCCATCACACTCAAAAGGCAGATAGGTTTATACGACCTCCGTAATGACCTACCCTTATCCATGCCCTTCAAGAGGATGACCAGTCGCGCTACCTTCCATTCGTCCGGAACCCATCCTTCTCCCATACATGCATTAAACACCTTCAACACATACTCCGGAACAGTCTTTCACACAAGCCCCATCATTTCAGGCATCACACCATCCATTCCCGGTGACTTCTTCTTCCTTATACTCCTCACCCTGCTTTCAACCTTATCATAATTCACTCTCTCCACCCCTTCATACAATTCATAGTTCACGGGAACGTCAACTGGGAAAAACTCTCTCAACATCTCCATTGTATCCCTCCACGTTCCGTCCCATACGCCTACCAGTCCTTCGTTCTTCTCACTCATAAACTGCACCCCACGGACCTGCATTGCCGAAAAACCGGACAAAATTCCTCCACCATAAGACCTTTGTCTCCTTGATGGCCTTTTTATAATGTCTGAGCAAGCCTTGATACTCGAACCTGCACCTCTCGTTTCCGTCCAAATTCCTCTCTCTGCCATTTTTTTCGTGTTTTTGCAACTCGACCTTTTAAATCTTTTAGTTGTTCGGTCCACCAGGCTGCTCTTTTACCTTTACCTTTAACAAACCTTTTTGTCGCCTTGTCTATAGCTTTCTAGCTGCTCCCCACCCAGGATTCTCGCGAAGCTTTCAGGACTGGTCATATAGGCCTCCCTCCCAATTCCAATTTGAACATCTCCCAGTTGACGTTTCCCATGGTCCTCTTTTTTTATCTTCGCTTTGATCTTCGCCCGCACACCTTCCACACCGATCAATACACAATTGTGGTAACTCACACCCCAGTCTTCCTTAACCTCCCACGTGTCACACACAAACCTCTCCAACCAGCCACCATTCACTACCGTGAGGTCAATGTCCAACTCTTCCATTGGTCCGCTAAAAGTGAACAGATCAGATTTCAACTCCCGACCCCTCCTCTCACTCTCACGACCTGTCCTCACATACTTACTATACCACAGGGGGGAGACGGCATTGGTGTCCATACCTATCATCATCGCCTTTCCCTCACATCCAACCACCACCTTCCTCATCTATTCCAAATACGGTCCAATCTCATCCCCATATCGACAATACACAGACGCCACACCCATACTACCCAACTCATTACAAGGGTGGGGTTGTTGCAGGAACCGTATGCAAGTCCTTCTCGAACAGTCGTCGTCACCGTCTCTAGGTTTATTCTAGAGCACCCATCGCGACTTCCACTTCCAGGCTTTTCTTTAGCGAACGCCGTGCGGCCGCCGTCACCGACGATGAGTCACCCGTCATCACGGCACATACTAAAAAACCCATAGGCGTCGTATCGGGGCGGTGTATGGGTTGATTTCGTACCAACATTTATAAGTTGCTGCTTTAAAACAGCAAATTATACAACTAAATAGCTCCCGAGTCCGCGCATTACCACTCGTTTCAATTTATAGCACTTTTTTTTATTAGTAAAGAGGCCAGCCTAAGTTCTAGTTCTAGCCTTAATAATATCTTATTTGAGTATACCATTTCCCATGTGTGCCTTATCTAATCCCAGCTCAGAATTTACAAAATTTTTAAATCTACCCTCGTCTAACTCTCGTTTGTTACGCTAAGTTAATTCTTGGCTCTATTACAAAATGCAAGGTTTTAAAAACAATCCAAACAATTATCCTTTCTATTTTCTTAGGTAATTACTGCTAACATTAAATCAAGCTATTATTATTGTGTTGTAAATAGTTACAGGATGGTGCGAAATTATAAAACTGCGAAAGTAATGAAAAACGCTGAAAATACATAATTTTTATAGCTGTGACAGGCGAGTTTAGTGCAAATGTCCACAATGCCTTAGTTTATTCCATTTCTATCTACGCGATCAGAAAAATTATTTTAAGGCGACTAAATTTTCATATTATCTAATATTTTTCTAGATCTCCAGGTCTTCATTTATCTTATTCCGAACATAAGAAAACAAAGTATTGTAATAGTGTGCATCCGGTAAACTAATTTCATATTTTGGCGACGTTTCATAACTTCTGGAGCATGAAACAGTAGATCTCCTGTTTCCGCCTATCTGTCGTCTGCTGGCAATTTTATTAGACAGTTAATCTCCAAAACTGCAGCACTTATTGTTGGATCTATTTTAGGAACATCCTCATATATCACCTTTATTTTTGACCTTAGACCACCAAGTTTATGGGAGAAAAAAAACACAATTATGTAACAACCTTTTATTATATAACTTAGAAACTTAGGGGCCAATTCCAAGTTGGCGGCGCAAGTCACTGGTGCAGCGCAATTTTATAATGCTAATTTGGGTATCAAATGCTGGTTGCTAGGGGTTACGGAATCAACAAACGCAGTTGTGTCGAATTTTCCATTGACATTTGCACCATGGAGTTGCGGCACCTCTAGTAGGCAGTGCAAGTTGGCGCAATTTATCTCGAAAAATTGCGTTTGTTTATTCCGTCACCCCTAGCAACCAGCATTTGATACCCAAATTAGCATTACAAAGTTGCGCTGCACCAGTGACTTGCGCCACCAACTTGGAATTGGCCCCTTAGACTTATCATAGGCATGATGAATCACTAGCCTAAATTTATCTGTTTAAATGTATAAACCGTTATGAGTGTGCACTTGTGGTTTATTAATATATTTATATTTTTACTTCCCGAACGGAAGCTAAGGAAGTATAGTAATCGAGTCCATCGGATCATCAGCCACTTTTTTGTTGTCTCGACGTTTCATACGAAAAAAGTTTCCATCTGTCTGTCTATCTGTCTGTCTGTTTGGTGTCTATATCCATTTTTATTAGACACGTAATCTCCGATTTACCGGACCGATTGTTGTCAAATTAAAATTAGAAATATATCATGTACTTAGATGATTAAACGCTGACCAAAATTTGTCTAATCATCCCCACCAAAAACGTGATGCCATATCCTCAAAATTTTTAACAAAAAATACTTCTTAAATTTTATAAAGTAATATACTCCTACACTTGTAGTTTACGAATCCGCGTTTAGTTCACATGATAATTATTTTAAAAAATGTTTCTGCAATATTAGCTGCGTGTTGTATCTCGGGCGCGTCCTTCTAGCTGCTTGGGCTGGAGCGCCGCCAACCAAGCGTCGAACAAGGTATGCGCTAGTGAGGTTCGAATCTCATTCGCATCCCCGTTACATCTTTTTTTTAGCAAATCAAGAACGAAACATAAACACTCGAAGTTAACCATGTAATTACTAACAGTTAATTTTCTCGTTAAATATACATACATATTATCTATCGTTCGCACTTCAATTTTCGCAGTTTATTTTATTGGCCAAATTGAGAACAGTTCATTCCAGTTTTATTTCCCGAGCGTAAGCTAAGGAAAGATAGTAATTAAAACCATCGGACGAAAGGCCAATTTTATGTTTTCTCGACTCCTGCAGTACGAAAAAAGTAGTTTCTCGTTTCCGTCTGTTTGTCTGTGTGTCTGCTGGACCGATTGTTGTCAATTTTTTTATGTATTTTAGAAATATCATGTAGATGGTTAAATGCTAACCAAAATTTTTGTAAGCATCCCCATCAACAATTTGATGATGTCATTTCAAAGAATTCTATGTTTATTTGATTATTTATTTCAACTGTTATACAACAATATATGTAAGTATGTATATAAGTGTGGTGTACGAATCCGCCCTGAGCTTTTCCTTAAGTGCTTTTTTTTCTTTTTCTTTTCTCTTTTTCTCTCATATTGTGTATTACCTATGTTTATGACGTCGTAACTAATTTTTTATTGGTCAAATTAAGCACGAATCACCCCATTTTCCCGAAAATGTGAGAATACGCACGTATCTATACAATAATGACAAAATAAGAATTATAATACATATTCAGAACATTTTGTTTGATTGTAGTGTAATTAATAATTTTAGTGCACTGTTTTGAGAAGGCAAACTCACCCAAATTCAACTAATTGATACGTGACATTCTTTCGATGTATAAACATAATTTAAACACTTGAACTTCAAATTACTATTACCTAGTGCTGAAAGCCATTTTATCCCGTTAGTTAAGTGCTTTACATTGTCCGTACGGCGCAGGGGCTGCGGGGGTGTTTTTTATGTCGCTGGTTTTTACTTTGCAAACGTTATTTCAAAACGAAAATCGTAAATTTTATAATTTCTTTAAAGAGCTGAAGTGACATACGTGTTCTTCATGTTCTGCCACAGCGAATTTTGTATGTGCTTAATCGTCGAACTCTTTCAGTGCATAAACATAAGCATCTTCTTGTTTCTTTACCTGTGCTTTAGCATCCCACACATCTTTAAATTTTATAATAAGAAAATAAGTTCCCAAAATAAAATTCCATAATTTTTCGAAGGATCTAGGTATATTTGTTCGACTGTACTTCAGAAGCGAGAGAAGTTATGTCTAAGTTAAGTGCCATTTACCATGTTCTTGCTTGACTCCATTTCTTAAAAACTTTGGATAATAAAAATATCAAACTGACAGATAATTTCAATGGAAAACAACAGTACTGCCACGATAGTTTTTTAAGAAATTAATTGCACTAGAGGAGTTTTTTTATCATATTGTATTTTCGTTCCTCCACCAGGAAAATAAATCCTATCAGAAAATTGAGTAAAGATTATAGACTTTCTAATTTC